AGATTTACGGATAGAGATTCATCTCATTGTAGGATTGTTAATATAAAGTATTATTATACCTTTCGTCATCATATTGGATTTGAAAGCGATGGTTTGGTTTTTTTTGTATAAAAATTATTCCTCACACATATGATAAGTTCATCAGATCTGTGAACGAGAGATCATAATCAATTTTCAATTTTCACAATATATAATCAAAATCAATTTATATAATAATAGGATTTGTAAGCGTAAAACCATAAATTAACATATTTCAAGAATTTTTGTATCACTGAGGCCTTTGCAGAAGTGCCAGAGGGGGATGGCGTGCTCATACCTAAAATGTTCGGAGCATACGTCGACTACATTTCCATCATAGAAGAAGAGTTTATCTTTTTGATCAAATTATTCCGAATTTGAAGCTATATCAGAACTCATTAGTTTAAGAAAAGGAAAAAATTATTTCTTTCAGTCGTGGTTAAGCCCCAAATTAATATAAGACTTCCTTGAAAATTTAACCCTCTCACAATATTTGATGGATTCTTGTCTTAAAATTGCCTTATTAAATGTTGAAAATAAATTTATTGAAAGCACTCCTAGTTGAAGCCACAAAAAAGCTTTCACAAACATACTTGCTATTTCAGGAATAATATGTACAAGATTGAACCTCCCGTAAAAGTATTTCAGGTAAGTTTGTTTATAAATTTTAATATTATCAACTTTGAATTTTAATTTCAATTACTATTGATCGACAAATAAGAATCTTACTCGATCATCAGGGAATTCATCTTAATATGTTCATATAAAACATAAAAGTTTTCAGCCTGATGTGAAATTCCTTCTAATGATAAACTACCAAGTATCTGCTGATCCACTTTCTATGATAAATAATCTTTTAAACAGTATGTGCAATTTGAAATATGTGAAAATATTTCATATTACATATAATATTCGCTTTGATTACAGGTCTGTTACAAGAAATTTACTGTTTCTTGCTTCAGAATACATATATATCTTACAGTTTATGGATAATCCATTTCGGATAATCAGTTATGCAAGATACCTGTTGCGTTTTAACTTAGTTTTCTAATCTGAAATTACATTTTAGATTTTTCTCTGAACCAACCTCATCGTTTATAATTTTTCGAGGTGAAGGTATTATTTATGCGGATTTTCATATCAATTACACTACTGGTGAGAATTTGAAGCTTAAGCTTCATGAATGGAAGGTAATTCTTAAACTGATTTATCTTTAGCGATTTTGACGAAATGTTACTTTTTGATCAGTTGTATTTGATATAAACTGCATCAATCTGTGAAATAATCACAGAGATATTTCTTGAAGTATTAATAAATTCTAAAGTGTTTCAGAAGCAAAAATACTTTTTTGCAATATTGTTTTTATAGAATACAATTTCATTTCTCAAATCTCACCAAATCATAGCCTTCCAATTGCGTCAATCAACCACTGTACCAGCAAGCAGCGTAAAAGTTTTCAAGTATGTGTAAATTTTGCTGAACAAATTTATGATGCACAAGCAAACAAAATATTTTCGATAAAAATTTAAAAATTTTCAGTGAAGTTTTTGGAATATGGCCGATAAGTTTATATTCACCTTATGGGGGTGGTTTCACGGAGTGTTCAAACGTCAGATCCTGTACTTCAACTTATAGAATGACAAGTTTTATCTTGGTTGGATTCCGTGAGTTCCAACATTTAAAGCATTCGTTACATAGTGAAGAACTGAAGAAACAGTTGGAACATACGGAACCATCTGCGAAAAAAGCTCGATATGAATAGAATATTTGAGTTAATGTGAAGCATGAAAGAGTCAAATGTTGAACCTTGCTCTTTCAATGTATTTTTTCCTGTCTCTTTTCTTTGAATTAAAAAAATGTGGTTTCTGAGAAAAAAAAAACCCTTTTTAACTGCTTAATAACCTAACTTGATTACACGTCACATTGTTCAAGTAATGTGTGGCTATTTTAGAGGCAATAGCTTTTTCGTCATTCATCACGTCCTTTCGAAGCGATATTTTTTCCTCTATTTATAGAAATTTTTCCACGTGGTTCCACACAATAGGTGCAACCAATTTAAGTACTTCTTCTTTTCACTGAATTGAGTTCAGTTATGATAATATTTCTCAGATAATCTCAAGACATCTTGTCGGCTAGAACATTTCCACACACATCACATTGATGAAGCTCTTCTTCATTTGGGTAGGTAGAATTCTTTATATGCTTTTGTGTAATGTGATAAATTGAAGTGTCACTTAAACACGTGCAAAGACATGTTTCTTCCGGTCTTCATGGATATCCGTGTATCGATTGAGATATCTTTTGCACATATCACATCACAATGATTTGGCATTTAACAGTACCTAATTTTTGACAATTGCGTGATAATTTTGACTGAAAGATTTCTTTTCTGGTGCTGTATTTGATATTCTTTTTATCATAGTTTCTGTTTGTTTGGATGGCTTCCGTTCAGTTTCTGTCCTTTGTTACTCAACAGTTTGTGGATTGTAAGGAAAGATTATTTGCATATTGTTTTCCAAATAATATTTTCATCAGAAATTAGACAAAATTACACGTTTTTAAATGGTTAGAAGTTGGAAAAATTCTATTCTTATGATTGTTTGCTTTTGACGAAATAATTCTGAAGTTAGAATATTATACCAGTTTCTCAGGTGAGTTTTTATCAGTTCGTAAATGTTTATTGTTCACTTTTTCTTTGGTTCTTTGCCCTTCACGCGTTGGAATTCTCAGTTATTTTTTAGACTTTATTATCTATTCAAACATCGAAAATAATATTTTTTGTTCTAAGAAGGATATCAATTTTTCGCAACATGAAGTGGACGAGTCAGTACATTGACTTACTTGAGACAAGTCAACTAGCCAGCGCCACATCACGGCTTTTGTTTCATTTGAAAATTGGCCCACTTCTCGATTTGAAGCATCTGAGGAGTAATCTGCTTCCGCGGTCAATGGTTCCACCGAGAAGTCGCGAACTTGTGCTTTTATTATCGGCTTTGTATTTGGCTTTGTGATTGCTTTTGTACTCGGTTTGATTTTTTTTCCGAACGGACGACAGTAAGGTTTGGCTGTACTAAGCCGACGGCCAAGGGTAGTACCGTTCTTCTTTTCTTGAAAAACATTTACAATAACTCGAAGGCCAAGCAAAGTAATTACATATTTTTAATAATGACACTTTTTAAATATTTTTTAATTTCGAATCAAAGTATGGATCTCACCTTTCGCTGTAGCATTCAGCGATTTTCGATGTTGTCTAATCGAACTGTCTGAAAAGTAATGCGACATATCTATAGAATTCAAAAACTATCAGTAGCTTAGCTTTACTTAATCACACTGATTGCCACTGCAGACTGCCTTACTGATTCAAAAGTACTTTTTGCTTACTTTTGTTAAATATAATTGAGGATTTGAGCTCATTTTCTAAGGATGTTGGAAGTTATCATTATTAATGTTATTATTATTATTATTATTAATTATTAAAATTGATCGCTTTTGCATCACTAGTATTGTCAGCGGTAATATTATTAGTCTTAGGAACAGCATAATTAATCTTTAGTTTTAAATTATGGATTATTAGGATTGATGAATTGCTCTGAAAATTAAATGTAATCACTCATGAAATTAATAACTTCTCATCTCAACTGCGAATGATCAAATGATGCGCAGTATTTTGCTGCATTCTTTGTTAAAATCATGAAAAGGAGTATTACTGATAATTAAATAACTACAAAAATTAATAATTAAAAATTTTTAATAATAATTTTGAGAGTTTTGTTTTGCTATTAGTTTAAGATTAATTTTGAGAATCTTTTGGATTCAATTTTGCATTCAAACAAAATGAACAACTAATTACAGTGCTTTGCTAATAATTATTTGGCATTGTCCTCAAACTCTTACCCTTATCTGTCCGATGCAAAAATGATGCGCGATAAGCGATAGAATGAAAGCATTCAGTAATGCTTCTGGCATGTCTGTACTGATGAATGACAATTATCGATCTATAACTCTGTAATTTATTGTATATCGTTAAGTCATTGATTGGCTGAAAATGAAGACCTGCACAGAAAAACGGTCATTTGTACCTATGAATCGGTAAATTTTAGATATCTTAATACATTTTCCATTTGGAAGAGTGAAAAAAAAGCAATTACAACGTTGGTGCGAGCATTTTTGTGGGGCAAAGATGAGTGACTCTCACAACAGATTCTTTTAAACAGAATCAAAAGTTACGTGTCAAAGATTAATATGCAAATGATTCTGGAACTGAATTGATTTATGCTTTGGCGGAAGAATTATTTTTTCCAGGGGTATCAGAGACCTGTGCGAATGATCATATGGCCACGTTGCAGTTAATATGATTGT